CGGAAATGCGTCTGCGCTTCGCAGGCTAGCGTGGCAGGCGTTTGCGCACCTAAAACTCCCTTTCCCTTCCCTTTCAAACGCCTGCCACGCAGGCTAGGAAATTTGGGAATCCGGAAATTTGTGGCGTTGTGCTTTTAGAGCAACATTTAGTAAATTACAAGTGATTAGGCAAAAACAAAAAGTAATAATTTATATAGACGATTATTAAGGCTGTGTACAACCGCTCCCTCCCCTTAAATAAAATCAGGGAGAGAGGCTCCTACACAAACCACCCGGGCGGAAATCTTCTGCATAGTGAGGTGGTGGGAGAGCGACCTGCAACAAAATATATCCAAATCCGGCTAAACATTTTTCCTGAAGCTTCACGAAGAGAATATACGCAAACCATTCAATTTTCAAACCGGTTTTTCTGGTTTTCTCATGTAAATGGCTAGCACACCTGTACCCTCCCTCCCCGACTTTTTTCCAGGGGACTCAGGGAAGGAGGTGGCCATAGACAGGGTGGGGATTATTGTCTGTGAGCATAAATTTGATCCTTGCACGTGATTAGGCAAAACCAAAGAGTAATTTATAGCCGATTATTGCTTGTGAGCATAAATCTCTTTCCGTAACGTATGTCCAAAATTCACTGCTTTGTAACGAAAATGGCGAGCTTGCAAACTACCTTCGTGATACTCAGTCTTTCGGTGCTGTTTGTCTTATTTTCAGATGAGATCTGGGCGTCGAACACGTCGCCAAGATTTATGTTTAGCGACAAAACCCCGTACCATTTCAAGCGAAATGCCATAGTTAAACCTCCAGAATGTGAAGCGGTTCATCTGAATATGGTAATAAGACACGGTTCAAGGTATCCGGGAAGTTACCGGGTGAACAAGATGAAGAAGATGCTTGAAAAGATCAATCAAGTCTTCCCAAGCAATTCTACGATTCATTACAAGGGTCTTTCACTACCTTGGAACATACCAAACGATATCCTGCAAGCCGCAAGCAAAGAAATGTCGGCATTAGGCTCCGAGGAGATGTATTCCATAGCAAGACGCCTTCTTGCTCAGTTTCGTAGCGTGTTGGAACACGGATACTCGAACACTAACTATAGCTTTGTTGCCACCGATAAGCTTAGATCGAGTCAAAGCGCTGTGGCATTTGCCCAAGGGCTGTTCGAAGGAAAAGGAAAAGTAGGTTCAGCGAAATACCAACCAGTTGCCGTAAAATTTTCGGGTTCTTACGATGATGACAGTGTTTTACGAATCTTTGAAGCATGTCCCAAATGGCAAAAAATAACCGAGAAGAAAAGATCGCGGTCCGAGCACGCAAAATTTCTCAACGGTCCAGAAATGCGCGAAGTTGTGCAAAAAATCGCTGAAAGGCTAAAATTGCGCAAGAAAATTTTGCTTACCCCTCAGATGGTTGTGGAAATGTTTTTAATGTGCGCATTTGGGATTCAGACGGATAGCGCCGATTCAAGCTGGTGCGAGGTATTTGAGGAAGCAGATTTAAAAGTTCTGGAATATCTCAATGATTTGAAACTTTACTGGGATCGGAGCTACGGCCGTGAAATCAATTATAAAATGGGCTGTCAGCTTTATGCTGAGATAATAGACAGTTTTGAAGGATTTCTTCAGTCTGGAAAGCCTCATGGTATATTTCGATTTGCTCATACGGGAACTGTCATTCCGCTTTTAACAATGTTGGGTCTCTACAACGATACGATCCCACCTACAGCAGGCAATTTTCACCAACAAGCCAACCGAAAATTCCGTATTTCTGATGTTGTACCTATGGGAGGAAATGTCGCATTTTTGCTCTACAAATGCAGTAAAGAACGTCCCGAGAACAAAAGCAAAAGCGATACTGAAGGAGAGAGTGATTGCGCAGGTCATTGTCATATATCCAATATGACAATACAAATGTTGGTGAATGAAGCCCCCGTGCCAATGCCTGCATGTGGAGGACGGATGTACTGCAGGCTAAAAAACTTTCTGTCCTACTATTCGCACATCAAGGATAACTGTGACATTAGAACAATATGCGGCAGGCGACGAAAATGCAAGAACAGGAGGGGACCTCAGGACTAGTTTTACTCTAGAACAGCTCGCCCCATCCCATGTGATGTAATATCCAAAAACCTCGTTCCCAGGGTCCTCTCCTACTCGGCCCCCGTGGCGCTGTCATAGGGATATGGGCATTTCCACATTTTGGGCATCCCCATTCCCAAAACCCCAGTGATATGGGCATCCCCTTCTCATATTACCTTAGCGATTTGGGTTAGGGTTAGGGGTAGGGTTAGGGTCATAGGGGATGCCCATATCACTAGGGTTTTGGGAATGGGGATGCCCACATCATTGTGACAGCGCCACGAGGGCCGAGTAGAAGAGTACCCTGGGAACTAGGTTGGTATTTCTAAGACAGTAGTGGATTTTAGAATCCACGCTGTGGATTCCGGATTGCAAGTAAACTAGGGTACGTATCATTTACATGGAAAACCGGAAATTCTGAATGG